TAACTTTATTATTTAGTTATAACCTAAACTAACTACGTGTGTAAAAGTAAATAGGTTAAGTTAGTAAGGTAGGTACGTCTCGTACAGCAGTAGGTAGGTAGGTAGGTAGGTAGGTAGGTAGGTAGGTAGGTGGTGTGTGTGTGTGTGTGTGTGTGTGTGTGTGTGTGTGTGTGTGCGTGTGTGTGTGTGTGTGTGTGTGTGTGTTTACTTGTTATATATTTAACAAAATTAACTACAATGTAAAAAATACAAAATTGGGTAACAAAATTTAAGGTATGTGCATGACTGTAACCAGATTATTTATTTACCTGAGACTATAGGAAACATCTAAATGTAATCCTGCTGTGATTTATTGATTTTCCTGTGCAGTAGTGTGTCCCAAAATACAACACTAAAACTGTAATATTAAAAGAAAGAAGATATCTGAAAAGGTTAGAAGCTGAGGCTATTAAGATAAATAAATATCTATTACAATATGCAGTACCTTATGGGAAAAAATGGTATTATTCATTGTATTTCATATTATCAACTTTTAATTTTACTGTACTCTGATGATTTTGATAAAATTAGTGTTAGGGTAGAGAAAATAAATGTTAAAATATAAAATTTTACAGAAAAAAAAAAACTCGATATTCAATTATGAGGTTCCAGAGATTATGCAAATAAAGTATGCATACTAAGATAAAAACAAACATTTTAATTCTTAACATGAAAATCACCTTTCACTCAGACTGACTCAATAAAGGCTTTGTAACTTTAGGCAAATCTTTAGTAAAACTATACTAAAAATGTTTTAAAAAACTTGTAATGTTCACTAAAGCTGACTAAATTTTGTGAAGATACACTTGCTACAATCAGAGTTCTATTAAGTACAGTTTCACAATTACAGGTGGTTACAAAAGTTGGTTAAATTCACCAAGGCTATATACAGAGAGTTAAGGTGTATGGTGAAATGTTTAAAGCCTAACTATACTGATCTAATACAATTATCTGCTTTTGTACTTAAAGAAATTGGTGCATTTCCAAAGCATTAAGAAACCTTCAAGTTTCACCAAGGCTATATACAGAGAGTTAAGGTGTATGGTGAAATGTTTAAAGCCTAACTATGTTGATCCAATACAATTATCTGCTTTTGTACTTAAAAAAAGTTGGTGCATTTCCAAAGCATTAAAAAACCTTCAAGTTCACAAGAAGTTTTGTAATTTGTCAGCCAGCCCTCAATCATCCAATTATAAAAAGCCACACATACTAATTTCAGTCAAGCATAAACAAAGTAGACAAGGCAATTTCAGATCATCCTATTAGAATTAGTATTTTGTTTCCACCCCAGTAGCTCCACCCTTTTAGATTTTCACACCAAATTTGTATGAATTGGGTAGTTGTCCATTTGACAACAGAAATGGTAGAAAATTCTCACAATTGAATATAGCAAAAACAATAACACTATTAGAAAAGGTTACAAAAGTTACACCCAAGAATGAATACCATTGCCATCAGTGTAGGAGATTCATGGGTTTTCTAAAATATTCTGCTTTGATATATTGTCTAATAAAAGTAAAATAAAAACACTTTGTACAAGAAAAGCACTGCAAATTTGTTGATATAGAGCTCTACAGAGGTTAGTATTCAAACCATATACATTCTGAAAACAAAGCAAGTGCCTAATTAACTCAATACTTGAGAAAATTGGTTCCTTGACTTGGTTGATTGTTTAAATTAGTGAAATGTAAAAGATCGTTACACCTAAGATTTGTGTTCTTCAGATACTTTTTTTTTAATGTTGTGGATACATTGTAAGGATCAAGAAACAACCATACAACTCTTGGTAGACAAAAAAAATCTGAAACACACTTCTGGTTAGGAATCTAAAACTTAAGATAAAAATTCAAAAAATTACTTTTCACTTGTCTTAGGCCTCTTTAACATAAGACACAAGGTAATGTCAACAACATTTTATTAACTAAAACTTAAATTGTAAAAATAACATTTATACTATAATATTTACTTTCACTTTACATATGAAATATACAATATTTGAAAATATGTACTTTAATGTGGTATAGTGTGAAATTGTTACAAAAGAACATAACATTACAATAAATTTTTCAAGAATACACTCTTCAAAATTAAAGTATATCCTTTCTCACATTTCTTGCCCATTTTCAAATTGATACAACAAACACATCTACTGTACTTACCCAGTTCTGAAACATCAGGAAAGGTACTATTATCCAGAATGTAATTCAGCTTCATCTCTGTTACCAACACTTGTTTATCATCTTTTGTAAAGGTCATCATGAAGGAATTGTTGTTAAAAATCAACACAATTATCTGGGTGCCATTTTTACCTGAACATGTACTGGTTTTAACATCAACTGATGCATTTTGTGGAAGAAAAAGCTTCCCAGTTCCAATCTGAAATATTCGGTTTCTTTTTAATTAGAGTTGAAAGAGTAACAGAAGACATATTTGAGTAAAAATTCAATGAATAGTATTTCTAATTTATCCTAATGCAGAGATGTTTGAAAGCTAAGCTATTAAAGTTTGTGGAATATCTCATTTAAATGTGTTTAAGGATCTTATTAATACTCTTATTTGTAGCAACTTGTATTTATAATAATAATAATAAAATGTTAATTTCATAAGACTGATAACTATTAATAGTAGGACTAAAATATTTAATTTGAGCTTGGTGGTGAAAATATTACAAACATAGTTTTAGAAAGTATAATGCAATTCAGCTTATTAGTAAGTTATAAAACAGGCTAAGTATATTGCATTGTTATAAAGATATCAAAAGACTAGTTATTTGTCATTTATTTTAAAGATTCTTAACTCTTTCAGCACGGGCTTAGTCCTACAGACTCACTTCATAACCATTTCGTGTTTGTTATAGTTTTTTATGCTATAAAAAAATGTCTTGACACAAGTACTGCCAAACAAGAAGTGATAGTTCAGTATAACTGAATAGAGGGAATCACATGCGTCATGACAGTATGTTGCATTCTTATTGGTGGAAAGTTGACACATAATGATATGCACGAGAGAGAGAAGCATTAAAATCAGTCAATGCAAATGGAGGAGAGATAAAAGGCTTGTGGCATGTGTAAAATTTTTTTTGCATATAGAGAGCAGCAATGAACAAGAATAGCTATTTATGTGAGAAGAGGTAATGTACCATATCAGTATGTCAATTTGTGAAACATGGAAGTGGCAATACCATAAAAAAAACAGTTATCTATTATAATAGAAATTACAGCAAGGTTTTGTACTGCAATTTTATTTCAGCTACTATTTAATCTAGTTTGTTAATTTTAAAACAATTTTTAATAGTTCAGACATTATAAAGGGTTAAGTGCTCAAATGAAAATGGATAATTATAAAAGAATAAAACATCTCTTACAAAAAGAAACTGATGCAAAAGAACAATGCTAATTATCAAATACAACCTTTAATATTTGGATTTGATAAACAGAATATTAATTACCAACTAACACTGAACAAGCAATAGCTCAAACTCAAATGTAGTTAACTATAAAAGGTTTGCCATAAGGAAGAAAAATTGGAGAAAACTACAAGTTTGAAATTTTAGAATACTAAATCATAATCATTATTTATCCGTCCACCTGCAATGCAAAGATCTCTGTAGGCTCAACATGGTTTCTGGGAAAACAAGACAACTAGTCTAAACTGATTGTGACATTCCAACCTGATGTACAGTGTGAGAAAATAATTATACAAGTTATACTGAAATGGCTAGTAGTAGTGTGTGCTGCCCTCTTGTGGTATATTAAGATTAAGAAGTTTAATTGAATGTTCATGTCTGTAGTTTAACCATTAACTACAAAAATGTACTGTAACATTCCTATGTAGTGCAGTGGCACCTGAATGAGACAAATATTGTAAAGTAAAGAGTGTATTGATGAAAACATTTATAGATGCATTAATATTTTATTTATTATTATTGTATTTAAATATATGGTCAAAAATCACTGTTGGACCAAATTACAATATTATTTTAAGCTAAAAATTATGCTTGTGGTAAAGGGACTAGTGTTAGTTATCAGTACAGGTGATTAGTGGTTCTTGATGTTCTTTTCATTAAGAGAAGGTTTAAGCCTAGAAAGCAGAAGTCTAAACTATTTTGGGTTCTGTATCCTGTAAACATGGTGTTTGTGTATGTAAAGGGCTAAGGGTCAATTATTTCCCTATTTTTACACAACTTGTTGACTTTGTTAAACATCTTTCGACTTAAATCAACACAACACAAACTTGTTGACTTTGTTAAACATCTTTCGACTTAAATCAACACAACATAAACAAAGGAAAATATCCTTTAACCATCTTGCCCCAGGTATTCTTTACCGTGCACGATAAGATTTTAGTGTCTTAGATTCAAAATTTTGCTAAACTACTTTTTTGTATACAGATTAGTATAGCATAAAATCTTAGATAATAACCCATATTTTAATAGTATACAAGTTTTAAGTTCTTAATTTTATAAGGCAATATTTAAAAAATCCTGAATTTCACCAGTGTGACTCACGTGACACATTTTCTCTAGGTATATTATCTGTAATTTATCATATGATAAAATTACAATTTAAAATTTGGCTACAATGTGTATAAAAATGTATTTTCAAACTTCCTTGGAAAAGTTTTCTACAGAGAACCTGCTGGAAAACCTTTTATAATTAATCTTTACCTCTTTATATCCAAACCTAGCATACAAAGCACACTATCACATCTTCTGGAAGAACTGCCCTCATTTTAACCAAGACATTCTCAGTTAATTTCTGTACACATACAGACACTAACTACTGTTCTCAGATAATTTAACAACTGTGGAATAACTTACCTAATAATGTGTGATAATAGCTTAAATTACTTATTTCTCACAGATGGGTATTTGGATGTGAATATTGTATGTTTTTTTTATCTAGTGGGAGGAAAGGTTTATTAGCCTTGTGTTACCTTACTTTGTGTTCCTTCTCCACTTGAAGAAGTCATAAGGGCACATCGAGGAAAGTACCAACAGCATCTTATACATATGAATGAGATATATAGAAGCACTGCCAAATAAGACTTCTCATACAAGTCCCTAGAAATAAGTGACTTAATCTTTGAAGCTAACCAGAAATGGGTGAGTAACAAATTGCTGAAATTGGTTGATTAATTCGAGGCCAAAGAGAAAATTATTAAAGCAAAAATATATCATAACACTTACCGTTTTATGATCAGTCTTGTTGTATTTGATACTGAAACTAGCTTCCATGGTTAAGATGATGCAAGTCACATTTCCATCCTCTACTATCCAGTTATTTGCAGATGATGGTGTTGAACTTATAGGGCCTTTCACTAGTGCCTGCAGTTGGTGAAAAAGTGCTCGAGTTTGTGTTGTTTTCACTAGAGGTTGAAGTTGGAAAAAAAGTGCTTGAATTTTCAGTGCTGTTTTCAGTAGTGGTTGGTAAAAGGGTAGAGGGGCTACTAGTGGTAATATTATCATTTATATCGTTACCATCTAGTGCCAAAGTAGAAATAACAACAACTTCAGATGTTGTATTACTGAAATCAGTTGTGTTATCCTGGGCTACAGAGAAAAAAAGATATTAAAATTCAATTTGGTATTACAAAAAGAAATCCACAAACTGACATATAAATAACTATTATTCATTCCAATTTACAACACATTACATTGTTAACACCATCTTAATTACACGTACTGTACACAACTTGGGCATGAATGAATTGGTTTTCAGAGTAGAATGTTGGCCAGTTATCTTAGTGCAAAGAATTTTTAAGTACTTCACTGCAAAAAAAAAAAGTGCTTGTAAAACTTTTCCAAGTAGATGGTTTACAAAAATTTGGTATTTTTTAACAATCCAAACAAAGCATGGAAGAAAAAAAGAGGGCATGACATTATTTGACTTTACAATAAATACAGTAATTTGTACATTTAATAACGTACTTTAAATTACAAACTATGCATAAATATTGCCATATTTAGTTTATATTATTTTAATGTTAGGTTTTTTGCCACAAGCCTAAAATCCAACTGTAGGCTCAATGCAGACATAATTTCAGCCAGGCAATGTGACATTTGTTTATATATTAACCTATTAGTAGATGCCCACTATTATAATACGGCACTAATGCTGTTTTTGCTATCTTTACATATTTTCGAACTACCCTTGGTTTTGCAAAAAACATTTTACCTAAAACATTTATTTTGACACAATTTTGTTTTTAAAGATAACCTGCACATTTCCTACTTAGCAGATTAATGGCTAAATACATTGACTAAATACCACCATGCAGTAATCGCACACAGATCTTCCGTAAATCAAATAAATTGATAATTAAATAATGAAAACATGTTTTACTATCACTGTTAATGGTAATAATGATTTTTATTTAAAACATTTTACAGTTGCAATTAGAAATAATTAAGTAGCCAGTTAGTCAATTTATGTACTTTATTTGAATAACATAAACAAAAATATTCAATAAAGCTTTGAGTCAGAATATTTTGTAATCTCTTCCCGTACTCAATGAAATGAGCAGCCAAGTTATCTAAACATCTGATTTGACGAGATTTTATTTGATGTACGTAAAGAAAATCTCATTTTTACAAACACTGCAACTCAATACAACCATATTATAGCTATTAAAAAAGTAACACCATAATTTTAAACAGTCATACATCAAGATACCTTTATTAAGCCTCAAGCATTCTCCAGTTATGCGACTTTTGTTTCCTTTGTCTAGGAAACTACCTGAATCTGATGGTAAAACATTGTTCAAATATTGTACATCTGTTACTGTGAACTTATGAAAAAATTTTTGTTATCCACTCAACCCATCTCTAAACTGTGCAAGTTTAGATTATCTCAAGTTCTCTGATGTCTTCTCAATGAAGAAAATTTCTGTAGCTTTCGAACAGTTATAATTTAACACACAAGTACTTTCACAATCCACAAAAAGGAACATTTACATAATCTACATAAAATTCAAACCTGTATGCTACTGTTAAGCTTGCAACAGTCTAATTTTTGTTCTATCCAATCATATTTAAACTTTCTTTATAGCTGTTTTCAAATATGTGTTTCATTAGTAAATGATCAAATAACTTGATGTGGCACTAATACAATGCTTCAACCAAGATAAACAAAAACTAAGTGAAACACTTCAAAATCAAGAAATGAATAATGTATTCTCAAGGGGTGATAGGTTTCTTTAGCAAAAATAGTATTCTTTGGGATGTGCAGAAAATTTCTAAAATAAATCAACAAGGAAGTAGTTTTGTTTACAACTGTAAAGATATGTACTAAATAAATGCCAAAAAAGGAGAAAATATCCATTCTAAATATTCAAGTTACAATTATTAAAGTATAGTTAGAACTTACACAAGAAACTGACTAAAATTGTTAAGTAACAAAAAGTATGAAAAGCCAAAAGAAATCCTGTCTTCAAACATCATGCACAATAGTTTAGAATTAAATTATTTTTAACCCTAAGCTTTGTACACAAAGATGTACCATACAATCAATGCAACTACATTGTTTAACATTTACAAATGATAAAAGATTTATTCACTATCAGTCACCTGATACAACAATAGTGTGTACACTTTCTCATACTTATTTCAGGCAATTCAATAATGTTCTATATATTTATAAGCTATTCACAACAATGCTGAGGCCTTGAGTGTTGTATCCACAATGATGCAGCTACTTAAATACTTCATGACTAACTAATGGTAGTGAATAATCATAACCAATTTTATTTATAAGGCATATAATACCAAGTATTTTTTTTATATTCTTCAAGTAGCCTAAAACATAAATTAGAATAACATCAATTCATTTTGTAAAATAAAAATTTTTGATAGTTATAGCACTGTCTTAAAGCTTGAAAACCATTAGGGAATGAGTAAGAAAAAACTATAAAGTCTATTCAAATAATATTGTATTATTGTGTTAACAAGTAACATTTAACTTTTCCACACTAGCTATAGAACTTTCATTGTTATAATGATGGTATGATAGGTGTTAACTTTCTAAAAGTTAGCTGCGTAACACTGTTACTAAAATTTTAGTAAATATAAAAGAAGAGACTTCCACAATAATACTATAGCATTTTATATTAATCAATGTTGACCATATAGTCCTAAAGTAACTTAAGTTAAAAGAATGTTAATATGTTCTGTAAATAATGAGTTCAGTCAGGTTATAATAAAACAATTCCAAAGTTTATATCTTAATTTCTATTAATATGATTGATACAAAACTATGAAAAAAAAAAGCACTTCAAACTTTTTCATTAAAATTAAATAGCTACAATACTAACTTGGATGAAAAAAAATTCACATATATAGACATATTAAATATCTGAATAACGATTTTACCATGGCAATGTTTAATTCATGTTCATATGGTTGTATTAGTTTAGAAATACACAGTTGCTATCCAAGGCTTTAACTTTTTCAGCACAGGCTCAGTCCCTGGGACCGACCTCATAACCATTTTGTGCTTGTTATAGTTTTCATGCTATATCTTTTAAATTAATAAATGTATGTTAACGAAATTTGGCAGATCATCAGTAAAAATTACAATGCTTTCAAATGCAAAATATAATTTTTTTTATTTATTAAGTCTCAAGGTTTGTTAAGCAATGTTTTTCTCATGCCCTTTTTCTTTTCTTTTCGCATGTTGCCTATCCAACATGCAAAGTAATTTTCATTTTAAGACTAAAACTACTTTTATGCATAAGAAAATTTTACAATTTCACATGCAAAATCTTTATAAAGTCCAGATAGTTATCAAATGTTTCTTAAGAAAGAAATTTATATTTTATCTGTTATTTTCACTAACAAATCTCTGTACAGGTTCAGTACATTTGACCAATCTTGTAACCACCATCAAAAATTAGGAAATAAATATAAATTATGCCTCTTTTGTTCTAGAATGACAATAAATTGTAACAAGAAAACATAAGTGAAGAGACTAAATAGCTTAAACCTCGTAAAATTATACATTTATAATTTTGATTATATTGACCTTTCAGCAATGCCTGGCTAACAGTACAGAAGTTACAATGAAATGACAAACATGCTCTCATGTTACCATATCCAATAATATAAAACTGACCTTTAGTCTTTACGAAGTGACCTGTCTTGGCTGTGTTTTAGTAAACTAGTATTTTGTAAAATACAGTCACATTTCAATTATTATACATGTATATAGATTATTACTATTTAGAAATAAGTTCTTATACTTTTCTTAAAACATAGAACAGTAAATAAAGAAGTAAAGTAAACAATTCTCTCTTCTAGTTATGACCTTTGTACTCAGTTGCTACTTGACATAGGTTGCTAAGCCTTTTAAAATTTTGCATATGAAGGATATGAAACAAAATAATTTTTTTAGGCTTTAAATATATAGTTGAATAACCAAAAAATCATAAGTTACTATATCGATACCACAGAATTTCACTATAATTTATCAGGCTTTGTAACTATGCTGTATTTGGGTCTGCAAAATATGAAATTTCGAGCAGACTAAAGACACAACCTAACTCCTTGAAATATTGGTTCAAAAGAACAAGATTGCATCCTCACAAATAAAAATGGTAGAGAAAGCCACTAGGGGGACATTCTGAGCTTTTGATTGGTTATTCACGTCATATATGGAAGTAAGTGTATATAAGGGACTGTTTCCTAAAATGGAAAGAGGTGAGCGGGGCCACTGTGTTTGATTCAGTACATGAGTGATATCTCAGCAAATAGAAAAGATACAAGGTTCTTATTTTATATTCCAGCTTGTCAATATCAGTAATTTGAGTTCTTAATTGGTACAAAACCATAGACTTAGTACTCTGACATCACAAATATCTAATTTGAACCAGTGCTGCATTCAATATACTATGTGACACAAAAATCTATGTTTAACTGTGTTTTTTAATATTTACTTTAAAATTAAGAAATGAAATAATGTATAATACTAAAATTTGAATTATGATCTACAGTTCGATACCAAACTTACTGACATAAGTTCATGAAATAGTAGTTCAATAAAATTTTGAACAACATAACGTTTTGGGAGATCATAGGACCTATTGGTCCATCTCAGCTGTTCCATTCTCTAAACTAAATTAAAATAATTTTTAAAAAATCTTAAAGCCAGCCTTTATCATCCATATACTTATCAAGCTTTTTCATAAACTCACTTAAATTTACTGGCTCTACAACATCTGAAGGCAACCCATTCCAAAGACCAACCCCTCCCCCCCCCCACAATTAAGAAAATGAAACTGTCTTAGCTGAAGATAACTTCTACCTTGCCAAAATTTATATTTGTATCCCCTAGTCCTACTATTCTCACTGTTAAATAAGAAAAAAGATGATGCATCAACACTATCAATTCCCTTCACAATCTTAAACACCTCAATCAAACCCCCTCCCCTAACTCCTCTTTTTCAAGAGAAAAACAGTTTGAGAGATTTCAGCCTCTCCTCGTATGACAACCCCTCCATCCCAAGCACCATTCTAGTAACCCTTCTCTGAACCCTTTTCAACAATTCAAAGTCTTTCCAAAGGTAAGGAACTCAAGACTGAACACAATATTCCAAATGTGGCCTAACCAGTGATCTGTACAATGAAATTATAACCTCTTTAGACTTGTATTCAATACTTCGATAGATACAACCTAAAATCCTATTTCTCCTTCCACTAGCAACAGCACACTGCTTGGAATGGCTTTAGACTGATCGACTATTACACCAAGATCCCTTTCTTTCATAATACTATTAAGGTTATTCTCATCCAAATTATACTTATAATTCAAATTATGATAACCCACATGCATTATCTTGCATTTATTGTAATTAAAATCCATCTGCCATTTATTTGCCTAACTCAAATCCTTTTGCAAACAGCAGGATCCTCTTCATAGCTAGCAATACCCAAAACCTTAAAATCTGCAAGTTTAAGTAATTTATTGACTATTCCTTCATTTATGTCATTGATGTAAATCAAAAAGAGCAAAGGTCCTGAGCCCTCAAGTACTCCACTTATGACAGTTTGACTGAACTCCAACCCTCTGCTTTTTTCCACCCAACCACTCTTCTATCCACTTTGCTAATTTATCCCCCACACCTATAGAGCTATTTTTTTACAAGCCATTATGTGGCACCTTGTCAAATGCTTCTGGAAAATCCAAATACACCAAATCTACACCCTTACCCTCGTCTGCATAAGCAGTAACCTTTTCAAAGAATGTTAAAAGATTTGTAAAGCAATATTTTCCATTAGTGAAACCATGTTGACTATCCAATAAAATTCTAAATTTTGTCAAATGACTTTGCAAAGCAATATTTTCCCTTAGTGAAACCATGTTGACTATCCAATAAAATTCTAAATTTTGTCAAATGACTTTGCAAAGCAATATTTTCCCTTAGTGAAACCATGTTGACTATCCAATAAAATTCTAAATTTTGTCAAATGACTTTGCAAAGCATCTTTTAATCAGACTTTCAAAAACTTTCCCCACAACTGATGTAAGACTAATAAGCCTATGATTATTGGAACAATTTTTACCAACCTCCCTTGTAAAAGAGGAGTAACATTAGCTAACTTCCAATCCTACTGGTACCTGCCCACTATTCAAGGAC